TCCCTCCCACCCAACATGCTTCCTCGGTGGCTTCCCTTGCAGAGAGGCAACCGTGAATGGTTCGACAGGCTCCTGAACACCCAAAGTCCTCGTGAGCAGGTGTGGTGGCAGAGTGGGGGGGCGTGGCCACAGGGGAGGTGAGGGGCCGCAGGTGAGTGCAGGCCAGAAGGTCAGTGTGCTGGGCCTCGTTGCAGCCAGGCCCACAGCGCCTCGCCGGGCTGGTCAAGCTGGCTGACGCCGTCTACGAAGACCTGCAGTCCTGCTATGGCATCTACGCCAGCCTCTTCCATAGGTGGGGCCGGGGCCCTCCCTGCTGCCCCTGCGCCCAGCCCCTAAAGTGCGACCACCGGGCTGGGGAGCAGGGCGAGCAGGTGTCTGAGGTGTGTCCTTTGCAGCATCATCAAGGTCGACTTCTTCACCCTCACCTTTCGGCAGCTGGAGCGTCTGGTGAGGAGGGGGCGTGGGGAGAGCCCCCTGGCTGGGAAGGGGCCTGGGGTTCCTTGTTGCCACAAGCCTGAGTCCACCCTCCTGGGCAGGTGGCTGAAGAGGCCTGGGTGCTGACAGAGGAGCTGAGCCCCAAGATGACCCTGGAAGTGGCCTCAGGGCTCTTTGAGCTCTACCTGACCCTGGCGGACATCCAGCGCTTTTGGAGCAGCATTCCGGGCCGGTGGGTGCCCTGCCCCACCTGTCCTCCAGTCTCCTCTTGAAGGGGCTCTCTGTGCAGTCTCCCCAGGGCCTCCGCAGGCTGGGAACCTGGGACATGTTGGCTCAAGGTGTTTCATCAGGGTGAGCGCTGATGGGCCTCCCACTGCAGGGACAGCCGTTCCCTCGCCCTGGCCGGCATCCACGCCCCATTCCTGCCTGCTGTGAAGCTTTGGCTGCAGGTGCTGCGGGACCAAACCAAGTGGAGGCTTCAGGGAGCCGTGGAGGTGGACACAGTGAGTGAGCCCTCAGGCTTGAGGGGGCTGGGCTCATCCGGGCTCCCACCCAACCCGGGCCTCCTCCTGCTTCCTAGTTGGAGCCCATGGATGCCTCCTCCAAGCACAGCAGCTCCGCAGCCACTGCCAGCCTCTGCTTCAGCCACATCCAGGAGCTGTGGGCCTGCCTGGCATGGCCTGACCCCGCCCAGGCCCAGACACTAGGCACCCAGCTCAGCCAGGTGGGGACTACCCACCAATCAGGGTCTGGGTGCAGAAAGGACATGGCCCACATCTCCTGAGCCCCTGTTCTCCACCCCAGGACCTGTGTGAAGCCGCCCTCTTCTACACAGAGCTGCTGCGAAAGAAGGTGGATGCTCAGCCTGGGGCAGCCGGAGAGGCAGTGAGCGAGCCTGTGAGCAGTGGGGGCACAGGAGTGGGGGGCGGAGGCCCATGGTGGCCACCACCCAGCTGCCAGCCCACACACGTCTGTCACACCTGCCCAGCTCTGCGTGGTCCTCAACGACGTGGAGCTCCTCCGCAAGGCTGCTGGCCAGGCACTGCGTGGCCTGGCGTGGCCGGAGGGGGCTGCAGGGCTGGAGGGCACACTCCCACGGCCCCTGCTCAGCTGCACGCAGGCCCTGGACGAGGACCTGCAGCGGGAGGCCCGAACCGTGACGGCACACCTGACCTCCAAGGTGGCAGGGCCGGTGGGCGGGGGCCGGCCGGCCCTCCCTGCACCCCACGGTGCTGAACACCACTCTCCTGCTCTCCCGCAGATGGTGGGTGACGTCAGGAAGTATGTGCAGCACGTCAGCCTCTCGCCCGACTCCATCCAGAATGACGAGGTGAGTGTGCGGCCAGCTCGGCTTGGGCTCGCAGGGAATGCGCGTGTGCACTGGGGCCCAGTCCCAGCCTGAGGACCCTACCTGCAGGCTGTGGCCCCCCTCCTGAAGTACCTGGACGAGAAGCTGGCTCTGCTGAACGCCTCGCTGGTGAAGGAAAATCTAAGCAGGTACAGTCCTGAGCGGGCAGGCAGAGCAGGTATGGTCCTGAGCAGGCGGGCAGAGTAGGTACGGTCCTGGGCGGGTGGGGAGAGCAGGCCCGGCTTCTGGTCGGGTCACAGATGCTGAGCGTCCTGCAGGGTGCTGGAGGCCCTCTGGGAGCTGCTGCTGCAGGCCATTCTGCAGGCTCTGGGAGCGAACCGAGACGTGTCTGCCGACTTCTATGGGCGATTCCACTTCACGCTGGAGGTAGGGCCCCATGGAAGAGCCTTTCCTGCCTGAACTCCTGGTTCCTGGCCCCTCTGACCCCACCCCCTGGCAATAAGACTGCTGACCTTTCCAGCTGCATGCCCCCTTCTGGCCCAGTCCCCAGCCCACACACTCCTCCTCTGGGAAGCCATCGGGCAGCATCTCTTTCCCTGAGTCTGCTGAGTCAGAAGCACCTGCGTCACCTGTTCTGACAGATATCTGGCTTCAGGTGCCCTCATTTCCCCAAGCTTCCTGGCAGCTTCTGATACGGCCCAGGTATGAGTGGCTCTGCCTTAGGCTCCAGACAGCCCAGGCCTGGTGCTGCTTAAGGCCCCATTCCTTCTCATTCTCTTGTCTCCAGCAGTCACCCTGCCCCTGACACCTCTCCTTTCTTGCCCCACCCCAGGCCCTGGTCAACTTTTTCCACGCTGAGGGCCAGGGTTTGCCCCTGGAGAGCCTGAGAGATGGAAGTTACAAGGTGAGGTTTGGCCCTGGGCCCTCTGACAGAGGAAGGGGGAGGGGCGGACATCTGAGACCCAGGTTTGAGTTCAGCCCCGCCCTGCGCGTGAAATGGGGCCGGTGAGGAGCTCCGGCATCACCAGGCGCCACCTCCTCCCTGCAGAGACTGGAGGAGGAGCTGCGCCTGCACCAGTGCTCCACGCGGGAGTGCATCGAGCAGTACTACCTGGACAAGCTCAAGCAGGTAGTGCGGCCCAGGTGCGCGCACGAGGCTCCGCCCCCCGACGAGCCCGAACTCGGCTCACCGGCCTCCTGGCCTTTCCACAGAGATCCCTGGAGCACAACCGGTTCGGGCGCCTGAGCGTCCGCTGCCACTACGAGGCGGCCGAGCAGCGGCTGGCGGTGGAGGTGCTGCACGCCGCCGACCTGCTCCCCTTGGACGCCAACGGTGCGGGCGAGCGGTGGGTAGGGCTGCCACCGGGCGGGGCGGGGCTGGCGGCGGGGTGCGCTCACAGCCGTGTCCCCAGGCCTAAGCGACCCCTTTGTGATCGTGGAGCTGGGTCCGCCGCACCTTTTCCCGCTGGTCCGCAGCCAGAGGACCCAGGTCAAGAGCCGGACGCTGCACCCCGTGTACGACGAGCTCTTCTACTTGTGAGTGTCCCTCCCCGCCCTGCCGGCCCAGAGTGGGGGAGCAGGGCTCCAGATGACCACCCGCCTCCCCCCCCCGCAGCTCCGTGCCCGCAGAGGCCTGCCGCCGCCGTGGCGCCTGCGTGCTGTTCACCGTCATGGACCATGACTGGCTGTCCACCAACGACTTCGCGGGGGAGGCAGCCCTGGGCCTGGGCAGCGTTAGCGGCGTCGCGAGGCCCCAGGTGGGAGGGAGCGCGAGGGTCGGCCAGCCGGTCACCCTGCACCTGCGCCGGCCGCGAGCCCAAGGTGAGTGAGCTTCCGGCGGGGCGGGGCCAACCGGACTGATGCTGGCCCCGCCCCCTGCAGAGTCCAGGGTAACTGAGCGTCGAGGGCGGGGCCGGCAGGACTGACACCGGCCCCGCCTCCGCCCGCAGTGAGGTCGGCGCTTCGAATGCTGGAGGGTCGCCCCAACAAGGAGGCGCAGGAGTTTGTCAAGAGGCTCCGGGAGCTGGAGAAGTACATGGAGGCGGACCCCTGAGCCCTGCGGGCGAGAGCCAAGCCCTCCCCACGTCCCCGCGCTGTTCTTGCCTTGTGGTCAGCTTTGTGCAGCCGGGCCGTGGCACCCTCCCTCGCTTCATGGTGTGTTCTGTGGCTGGACTCCCCGGCTCCCTTCTGCCCCCGCCACGTCTGTGCGGTGTGTGCTGTGACCCTTGTGCCCAGTACACCCTACCTTGCTGGATCTGGACAGCCGACTGGGCGAGTCCTGGCCACCAGGTGAGCTTCCTACTTCCCCTCAGGTTCCCTGGCCTCGCGGGGCCGGGGGGGGGGGGGGGGGGGGCGGCGCTGGTCTTAGGGCAGGGCTCTCAGTTGGGGGCCTTGCCCCTAGGGGACATTAGGCAGCACCTGGAGACATTCTGGGGGGCGGATCAGTCACACCCGGTGAGTGGGTGATGGCTGTGCTGTTGGCACCAGCGAGGAGAGGCTAGAAGTGTCGTTTGACTGCCATGAGCCCTCCCCCCAACATAGAATGGTCCACCCCTAAATGTAACCAGGCAAGAGCTTTGTCCTGGGTCTCTCTGGGTCGGGGCAGAGTCTCCCTAAGCGGAGAGGCTGGAAGGTCTAGGTTTGGAGTCTGGACAATCCAGGCCTCAGAGGGAGAGGTGAACACCTGCAGTGCCCCCACTTTCTCTGGGGATGCCTCCCCAAGAGGGCATGTGGAGGGGGTTCTGCCTGAGAGCTCCACAGGTCTCCAGTCCCCACCCAGCTCACAGGCCCAGGAGAGGGGCCTCTGTGGTCATTGTTGGAGGCTGAGGATGTCACGCCAGGCTGGTTGGGTTAATGTAAGGCACTCCATGCCACCTGGCCAGCTGTGTGGCCATCTTTTCATGAACACACGGCGTCCACACAAGACCTACTCAGGGGTCCCATCTCTACACCCCAGGCTCTCTAGGCAGGATCTGTCTCATTAGAGGCCAAGGGTCCCCCCACACCCGCAGGCCGAGTGCCGAGAAGCAGAGGCTCACGCGGGGGTCTTCTTGGCTTGCAGCTTCATTGGGAGGGCTCTGAGGCAGGACCCAGAGCAAGACTGGGTAAGAAGCGCCAGGAAAGAACCTAGTCAGAGTCCAGTCCTGCTCGCAGCTGCACAGCCTGAGGCCGCCAGGCTCATTTGTGTTCCCACAAGCTGCACTGCCATCTCCAGATGTCCTCGTCATTCCGCCTCCAAAAATACACCTCTGAACTTTCAGTCTCTCTGCCGTTTCTTGATTCCTTTCCAAATCTCTGTGGGGGCTTCAGCCCCTTGCTCAGCAGTCTCCTCCTCTTCTGGGCTGCTGCTGCTGTCTCCCCCATCGTCAGGGTCAGGCCCAAGTTCCTCAGACTCATCTTCAGTGTCACTGTCAGCACCATTTCTGGGCAGCCTGAGAGACAGGGGTATGTCCACTGGCCTCCCTGACACACCTACTCACTCACCAAAGCCCCCAAGCTGAGGACAGATTCCTACTCCCCGTCCTCTCAAAGTGGAAACCCCTCCAGCTTCCCTTCTCTGCAGTCAGAAAACCATCCTGCTATTTACGACACTCCCCCACCCTGCAGAAGGAGGGGCTGAGATCAGAGGTGGAAGAGAGTCCTGGGTTAGCTGTTATGAAGCTAGGGGACCTACCGGGAGTCAGTCACCAGTCGGTTGGGGTTTGCAAACTCTCGTCCTGAGTCCACATCAAAGGGATCTGAATGGAGGAATCAAGGAGGAAAGTGGCCTGAAGTAGAAGTAGGAGTCCCACAGCTGTGGCGGGAAGGCCTTCCCAACCCTGGGCTTCTCAAGGGAGGGGGCAGGCCTGGCTCCCACCCAGGGGGCAGGTGTCCCTGCCAGGCCTCACCGATTTCCTCTTCAGGGTGCTCCTTGGCATGGGCCAGGAACTCCTGCTCTGCCTGCAGCACCTCCTCTGGGCCGCTGCAGGCCGCATATTTGTCCAGAAGCTGGCGGTTCAGGTCCAGGAACCCCTTGCCCCACTTGAATTTCCGCAGCAAAATGACAGCAAGGTCTGAGAAGCCTGTCGGTGCAGGAAGCCCAGAGATGTAGACAGCCCCTCTCTTGCCTCCCAGAAACTGAGAGTCCCGCCAACACTGGCCCACGGCCCTCTGCAGCCCACCAAGTCCCGCTCCCAACAGGGTGTCTCACGGAACTGCCCCTCTGAGCCTCCGTGTGGACCTTAAGTTCTCAGGGGATGAGTTGGGGTAACAGGGCTCTGGGGGCCGTCGTGCCCTGACGAGGGCCTGACAAGTGCTTGGAGACCAGTGGTGTGTTCTGTCTTCACCTCTGCCTCTCAGGGAGAGGACGCAAGTGGGAGCTGAGAGGAAACCCTGGCCACCGCCCAGCACGTGGTCAGGCTCCTCCCGGGATTGGCAGCAAAAGCACACGGACTCCAGGCTGCCAGGCCTGACACTCACCCAGGATGCAGAAGGTGGCAGCAAAGGCCTCCACGCAGGACAGCCTGCAGGGCCGGCCATAGTTCACAGGATTGGCGGCCACCAAATGGGGCAGGAGCCGCAAGTGGCTCCCACGCATCTTCCCGAACGGAGTCTCATCCAGCCTGGCCCAGGAGCAGTCGATGACAGCGACCCCAGACTGTGCCACCAAGTGTCTGCCAAGAGCAGTGAAGGGCTTGGTTCTGGACTTAACTTGGTGCTGGCCCCAGGGCAGCTATGTTCTAGGAAACTGGCTGCCCTGGGGATTCAGGGGTATCATTCAAGGACTCTCATGGGCCCAGCTTCTGAGGCTGTTGGAAGAAAGCTGTTCCTCCATAAGGCTTTTATTCACTCAACAATGTTTATTGTAGCCTGCTACTTCCTGGGCTCTGTGCTAGGCAACGGGGGTCAACTAGACACATCAACACAAACAGGTGGGCCCTGAAGGGAAAGATGTGCCAGGGCTGGGGGATAATTAAAAAGAGTCCAGGCAGGCCCACTCCGTTTCCCCGCACCCAGTCCTCTCGAGCCTACCTGTCTGCGGGGGACACGTACTGGGAGCCCACGGGGCTGAGCACGAGGCCGCCGAACCTGTGGCCCAGGCGCAGGCAGCGCACCAGTCCCAGGCGGGCCAGCTTGCGGCCGGTGCAGCGCCGGGGGTCGCAGTGGCCCAACTCCCACATGGCCAGCGTGCAGGGCAGCTGCGCCGGGCCCGGGCCGCCCTGGTCCTCAGGGGCCTCTGGCTCCACGGACGCTGCGGCAGGCAGAGAAGGGGACCCGGCCTCAGGCGCGGCTCCGCGGCCCGACCCCCGGCCCACCTCAGGATCACGCCCCACTCACCGCGCAGCGCGGCGCCCACCTCCTCGGCGAAGGCCTCCAGGGAGCGGCCCGCAGGGCGCCGAGCGCGGCCTCCCTCCGCGCCCGGCCCGCGCGCGGCCCTTCGGCGGCCCATGGCGGGAAGCGGGACCCGCAGTACGCACCGCGTCGCCGCTCCTCCCGCAGCCAAGCTGCGCGCGACACCACTTCCGGTTCCGGCGCCCACGTGACCACCCGCGGCGGAGGGCGCCACTTCAGGTTCCGGGCCCACGTGACCGCGCGGCAGCGATGGCGGCGAGGCTGGCGGGCTTGGCGGTGCTGCTCGGGCTCGGGGCCCGCGGTGAGTGCCCAGCCCGGCGCCTCCGTCCCGGAGCACCCATTCTGGTCTCCGCGCCCCCGCCCCGCGCTGCCTGCCCGTCCGCCCGCCTCCTCATTGCTCGCTCCCCGCAGGGCCCGCGCCCGCAAGCGCCGCCAAGATGAAGGTGGTGGAAGAGCCCAACACTTTCGGGTGAGCTGCCGCGCGGGGAGTTGGGGGCGCGGCGCCGCGGCCCGGGCCTGCTTCTCCCTGACCCTGCCGCGTCTCGCAGGCTTAACAACCCGTTCCTGCCCCAGACCAGTCGCCTCCAGCCCAAGAGGGACCCTTCACCCGTGTCTGGTGAGTGCGGGGCCCTGACGACGACGTGCCGGGGACCCGGGGCGAGCAGAGAGCCCGCCCAGCTTCAACACCGGTGGGCCGCGTCAGCTCTCGGGAGCCGGCGCTAGGGGCACAAGGGAGGGAGGGCGGCCTCGGACGAGGGGCCCTGGAAGTTAGGGCTTGGAGGCTCATGCTGTTCTTTGTCAGCCTTCTAATTGCACGCTAACCTTCCAGAGTGAGCCCGTGCCGGGTTCACTAGTTAGGGGTTTAGTCCTTAGTTTTCCTAGTGGTGACCTGTGTTATCAGGTTGGTGTCTGTTCTTAAACGTTTTTTAATGCGTTTACGTGCATAAGCGTACACGTAAAAAACGTGTAGTAGGTTTTTTTGTGTGTGACCTTTGCTTTCTTGTTTTTAGTAGTACCATTTTACCGCTCAAAACAAGAGATTCTCTGGTAGCTCAGCTGGTAAAGAATCCGCCTGCAATGCAGGAGACCCCGGTTCGATTCCTGGGTCGGGAAGACCGCTGGAAAAGGAATAGGCTACCCACACCAGTGTTTTTGGGTTTCCCTGATGGCTCAGCTGGTAAAGAAGCCGCCTGCAATGAGAGAGATCTGGGTTCAATCCCTGGGTTTGGGAAGATTCCCTGGAGAGGGAAACTGCTACCCACTCCAGTATTCTGGCCTGGAGAATTCCATGGACTGTTTGTTTAATCCATGGGATCACAAAAAGTCAGACACCACTGAGCGACTTCCACTATGCAGGTTTGCTTATTTGCTGTTGTCGCATCTTCGCTCTTCTCACTTGGTGCCTAGCATTCCATAGGATGCTCTGCGTTCTTTCATTGTCCAGCAAAGTGTTGTTTATGGGGTTTGGTCACTAAAAGCATTGTTGAGAATATTCCTTCTAGGCGTCCCTCTTTCTACACCTGTGGGAGTGGTTTCCTGCAACAGGATCTCAGGAATGTAATTGCTGTGTTGTTAAATGTGTGTTAAATATAACAAACAAAAAATCCAAGGGGATTCTCTGGTAGTCCAATGGTTAGGAGTTGGTGCTTCCACTGCAAAGGGCATTGAGTTCAATCCCTGACGCAGGAACTAAGATCCTGCAAGCTGCACAGCACTCAGTCATGTCCGACTCTTTGTGACAACATGGACTGGAGTCTGCAGGCTCCTCTGTCCATGGGATTCTCCAGGCAAGAATACTGAAGTGGGTTGCCATGCCCTCCTTCAAGAGATCTTCCCGACCCAGGGACTGAAACAATGTCTCCTGCGTTGCAGGCAGATTCTTTACCAATGAGCCATCTGGGAAGCTCACCAATTAAAAATAAAAAATCCAAGATCTCTTTTTAAAACAAATATTTATTTGGCTGCCACAGGTCTTAGTTGAGGCACTTGGGATCTTTGATTCTTCACTGGGGTACGTGGGGTCGAGTTCTCTGACCAGGGATTGAACCCAGGTCCTCTGTATTGGGAGTGCAGAGTCTTAGCCACTGGACCACTGAGGAAGTCCCCAAAATATTTATTTTTTTAATTGAATGCTACCACGTGTTAGGGTCTATGCTGTGGATGCAGAAATGAAGAAAACATACAATGTCCTCATGGAGTTGACAGTCTTAATTGGTAGGAGAGTAGGTTGAGAATAAACAAAAAAGTAGGTAAAATGTAGACTGGTGAAAAGTGCTCTGAAGGTATGGAAAGCAGAGAAGTGTGTGCGCACGGGGTTGTTCTGGGGATTGCTGTTTTAATTGGGGGGTTCAGGAAAAGACTGAGAAATGAAATTTCTGTCAGAAACTGAAGGGGAGTGGGTGTTAGGGCTGTGGATATCTGGGGGATGAGAGTCCAGCAAAAGGAGTGGCCAAATACAGGCCTTGCACACAGATGCCAGGCCCAGAAGGATTGGCCACGGGGTGGGGGTGGAGCGCTGAGATCAGAGACGGATGGTACCGCTGTGAGCTTTCACTCTAGACAGAGTTCAGCTTTTTACTGTGAAAATATTCAGTAGAAAAACGGAGGAATGGGGCTGTGAACAGCAGCGTACACTCCGACTTTAGTGTAAGGGTTGATGTTCTGCTGTGCTTGCTTTACCTTTTTCTCATTTCCAGTTTTTAAAAAGTGAACTTTCATTTTCCTCAACCATGTGAAAGTCAGTTTCAGACGTCATGATGGTTTAGTCCTAAATAATTACAGTTCGGATTTCCCAGCTTCCCTGGTAGTTCAGACAGTAAAGACTCAGTCTGCAATGCAGGAGACCAGGGTTTGATCCCTGGGTCGGGAAGATGCCCTGGAGAAAGGAATAGCAACCCACTCCAGTATTCTGGCCTGGAGGATTCCCTGGAGAGAGGAGCCTTGCAGACTACAGTCTGTGGGGTCACAAAGAGTCACGACCGAGTGATCAGCGCGCACACACAGAGAATGCCTTGTACAGCTGTCCTGGGTCCCACCCCACCCCCCCACCCTTGCCCTGGGAATCAGTCAAAGGGAATAATACATGCATCTGGTTAATTATGCGCTGAGCCAGCTGTCTCACTAACTATGAAATACGTGAGTGAGGTTTGAGACTTGCAATTTATTTTGGAGTGTGTCCAACCAAAGTTGGACTGCAGGGCACTGTGGTCCAACCTTCACCAGGTCATTCTTTTCTTTGTCATCAGTTTGATTTGCAGTTGGGTTCCCGTGTTTCTGCTTGTGCTCAGTTTTAGTGCTTACTCTACACATTTTTACTTTTGATTTTTCCGTAACTTAAAAATAGTTATAGACAATTTCAAGCATGTGTGAAAGTGGAAGAAGGGTGTGAGAAGCACTAGGCACCCTCACCCAGCTCTCTCTTTGCCAGTCTGGTTACTTTGAAACTAATTTTTCCCAATTTATTTGTAATATTTTGGTATGCATGTATTGAAAGGCACAACAGCAGTAGCAGTCAGTAAAATCCCCTCATTGTTTGAGATGTCTCTAATGTTCTCATCCTCTTTAACAGGCCGGTTGGTTTGAGTCAGTAGGGAAGGTCCGTGTGTTGTGCACTCGACGTGCGTCCATAGCTTCCTCGAATCTATAGATCCCCTCCCTCTGGCTCCTTGCAATTTATTTACTAAGGAAACTGGGTCACGTGTTTCCCACATTCTGGACTGTGTCCATTGCATTCCCATGGTTAGTGTTTGCTCCTGTAGTAGCTGGAGTCCAGCTGTGCGCCTGCGAGCTGGCCGGTCCTCTGGGTTTCCCGAGAGCAGTGGGGAGAGGTTTCGCCCACCCGGCCTCTGTCTCCTGCCTGAAGATCCCGTGTGTAGCCCTTTCTCAGGAAGAGGACCTTCCAGGCTGTTCCTGGTTGCTGAGTTTTAACCATGAATAGGTGTTGGGTTTTGTCAAAGGTTTTTTCTAAACCTATCAAGGCGGTCCTGAGTTTTCTCTTTCAAGCTGTTTCTAGGGTGGGGGAGAAGCTCTATACAGTCAGCAAAAATAACACTGGGAGCTGACTGGCTCAGATCATGAACTTCTTATTGCAAAATCTAGACTTAAATTGAAGAAAGTAGAGAAAACCACTAGACCATTCAGGTATGACCTAAATCAGATGCCTTAGGATTATACAGTGGAAGTGACAAATAGATCATAGAGTGAGTGTCTGAATAGCTATGGACCGAGGTTCGTGACATTGGACAGGAGACAGTGATCAAGACCATCCCCAAGAAAAAGAATTGCAAAAAGGCAAAATGGTTATCTGAGAAGGCCTTACAAATAGCTGAGAAAAGAGAAGCTAAAGGCAAAGGAGAAAAGGAGAGAGAAACCTACTTGAATGCAGAGTTCCAAAGAATAGCAGGGAGAGATAAGAAAGCTTTTCTCAGTGATCAATGCAAAGAAATAGAGAAAAACAATAGAACGGGAAAGACTAGAAATCTTTTCAAGAAAATTAGACCAAGGGAACATTTTATCCAAAGATGGATACAGTAAAGGACAGAAACGGTATGGACCTAACAGAAGCAGAAGATATTAGAAGAGGTGGCAAGAATACACAGAACTGTACAAGAAAGATCTTCTTGACCCAGATAACCATGATGGTGTGATCACTCACCTAGAGCCAGTCATCCTGGAATGTGAAGTCAAGTGGGCCTTAGGAAGCATCACTAGGAACAAAGGTAGTGGAGGTGATGGAATTCCAGTTGAGCTATTTCAGATCCTAAAAGATGATGTTGTAAAAGTGCTGCACTCAGTATGCCAGCAAATTTGGAAAACTCAGCAGTGGCCACAGGACTGGAAAAGGTCAATTTTCATTCCAGTCCCAAAGGCAGTGCCAAAGAATGTTCAAACTACCGTGCAGTTGCACTCATCTCACATGCTAGTCAAGTAATGCCCCCAATTCTCCAAGTCAGGCTTCAGCAGTACGTGAATGGTGAACTTCCAGATGTTCAAGCTGGAGTTAGAAAAGGCAGAGGAACCAGAGAGTTGGACAATCGAGAAGGCAAGAGAGTTCCATAAAAACATCTACTTCTGCTTTATTGACTATGCCAAAGCATT